ACTTGTTTATACAGAAAACTGAACCTGTGGCTGGCTTAGACTCTGGAGCCTATTCTGGGCATTGTTTTTTGCAATCTGCCCAGACCCTCCTTCCTCTTCCCACAACCACCACACACACACACACACACACACACACGCAAACACACACACACACACACACACACACACACACACACACACCCTGAGAATAGAACCTTTCTTTGGGCAAAAGGGGACTGAAACAGATTTGGGTGTCCACAGTATTTCATCACACCACTACTGAGGTGGCCACATTTAATTTGATAAAATGATGACTGGGAGCCTTTTCCCCCAAGTCGCCTAATAAAATGATGGAGAAAATAACCAGGGTCTCCAGTAAACAGGGAACTTAGCTGTAGTTGTTGTGGCCATGGTTCTGGTCATACAACCCGAGCCTACCCTAGCCACTAGGTTATTCAGGCTATGAGCTATGCATGCCTGGCAAAACTAAAACCCCACCACCAGGCAGCAAATCTCTGTGTCCTCTCCTGTGTCTGATGGATTGGGTGCCTTCTAAGCCCTAATGAGTCTCACTTTGTACAGTAAATTTGCTGAGAAATCAAAAAGTATTTAAAAGAAAGTTTCCTGCTTTTTCCTAATAAGCAAGGTGAGGATTTATGGTGTGCGGGGAGGAGGGGATCTGGCCACTAGGGCCGGCGGCGTGGAGGCAAGTCTATTTAACATACTCTAGCTGGAGCCTCCTCCTGCATTTAGGGGGTTCAGAGTGCGTTGCGGGAGTATAGAGACACGCAGTCAGGAGTGGAAAAACGCCATTTGGTTCGGAGCAGATGGCTGGCTAGGGGGCTGATGGCGTCTAAAGGCGTGTCCCCCCCTTCAGCCTGAATCCCTAAGGGCTCCCCTTGTCTTCCCAATCAATGAAAATTAAAGTGCAAAGAAAGGATGAATAGTTGGACCTCGAGTCTCTCCTTTGTTCATCTCAGCTACTGGTGTGCAGGAGTTAAACTACAACAGGCCCCTACAGAAACACAGAAGTTAAACAGTCTCCCGTTAGCTCAGCTTTGAAAGGGAGAGGGGGAGAGGGACCAGCGTGAGGTGGGGGGAGAGGGAAAGAGAAGGAGGAGGAGGAGGAGGAGGAGGAGGAGGAGGAGGAGGGGGAGAAGAAGAAGGGGGAGGAGGAGAAGGAGGGGAGGAGGAGGAAGGAGAAGGAGAGAGGAGAGGAGAGGAAGAAAAAAGAAGAGGAAAGAACAGGAGGAGGAGGAAGGAGAAGGAGAGAGCTTTCTGCTTGATTTCCCCAATACAGAATCGCGTGGCATAAATTAAGTTGGAAAAGAATGAACGCTTTGGGCAGGATTCTGATGGATTTTACGATGCCTTTCAGTTCCGCTTTGCCGCTGTAATCGAGAAATCTGTGCCACGTCAATTTAACAAATACTTGATACTGAGGGGGGTTTGTTAAAGATTTGGGGCAAGTCTTTTCCCCCCAAGGTTTAAGCCCTTGCGCGTGGAACTTTTTATTTCCAGTTTTCTAAACAGGCATTCAGACGAGACTATTTCCCACTTCCATTTTCTAATTAAAAGGTTCCTGAAATTTCATTTCTTACTGAAATCTACTCTCAGACTCAGAGGCAGAGGATTTAGAGCTCACATTCCTTTCTTCCTTTGTGTCTCCCTTGCTCCTGGAACCCTCTCACCTCCCTCCCACCCACCCAGCTCCCCCCCACCATACACACACACACACACACACACACACACACACACACACACCAACTTCTATGCTGTAGAGAGAGCAAAGTTCTCAGAAACTAGCTTTCAGAGGAAACATGGACGTAGTGAGAAAAGGATGCTGACACTAGGTGGCAAGATTAAATTAGGATTCATGCTGACCCGGCCCTGTGGGGATGTAGCACGTCCTTACAAAGTCTGCAAAGGGTGGCCACACTGGGATTGCCACCATCCCGGGGGTGTAGCATCTTTGAAGTCTCCATTTGTTCTGAACCAAACAGTAGGGGGTTCTGGTGGGGTCCAAGCCTGCCTTTCTCACTTCACCCTTACATGCACATTACTTTCGACTCATTCTTTGCTTTCTGACCAGGCAGCAGTGGAAAACCTAACGTGTACAGATCTGTCAATTCAGGAACTTTACGGGTATTTGGGAGCCAAAGAAACAAGGTTCTGGTTGCCTAACGTCCAGAAGGATGGCCATGGTTGAGTCCCCAAGTGATTTTAGATTGTTGTTTACAGTGGTTTTACTCGGTATTTCCTCTCTTCCTGCTCATTAAACAGTACTTTGTGATCTCCACACCCGCTGCAATGAAGGTCACATTTTGCCAGGACAGCGCCGGTTCCCACCAATAAGGTGGCTATAGCACACCTGCGGCGAGGCCCTTGTGGCCAGGCACCCTGGGGCTGTGTCACACACCGAGTGACATTTACTCCCACATTCACACCTTCCACCCTGATGACACCGCCGGAGGTGCTGGGGGAGGGGGAGGGGAGCAGACAGGGTTGGTAAAAAGACCCCGAAGTGTGCCTAATGAAGCTGGATGCCAGAGTAGGGGTCCATGAGCCACCTTAATTCTGCATTGAGCACACAAGCATGAGAGCAATTTAGATAATTCATTGTGTGATACGTGTGTTCTCAGCCCTCCCAATAAACTCATTTCCCTTAAAAAAAATGAAAACAAAAGTTCTAGTGTCTGATGGACGTGTAAAAACCTAATAAGGTGATGGTTGTGTAAAGATTTCGGGTGGGGGGGGGCGGGCTGGAAGGTCTTTAGAACATGTGCCGGACATTGTTGCAGAGGCCGCGGCGCGCGCGGAGGGGAGCTCTTTCTCTCGGCATTGTGCGGGGAGCAGGTGCGGTCCGCATTACCATACAGCTGAGCGCACAAAGAGCCACTGATTCAGCCTCGCACAATAACAGACTGCCTTAATGACAGCCACGCGAACGACACACACCAAACTCACTTTTTACCAAGCGGAGGGAGGCCGAGGGGGGAATACCCAGGAGAGAGGGGCTGGACACCCAGGAAAGGTGGCGGTGGCCGAGAATCGCTCCGGGAAGGACGTGTGCGCGCGCGCGCGTGTATGTGCGCGCGCGCGTGTGCGGGGCGGGGGTGCGGGCACTAGTTTGAGGCGTCAGGATCTCCCAGCTTGCGGGGGGGGGGGGGTTGGCGCATAGAGCTACCCAGACCCCGCCCCCACCAGCGGCCTCCCGCTGGCGCGGGGACTCCGGGGTCCCCGGGGGCGCCGCGCTCGCCTCAGCCCTGCTTTCGGAGGACTCCCGGACGCAGCGTCGCCGTCCTCGGCCGGGTGGCTCGTCGATGTCAGACCTCTCCAAACTTCCCGAAACTCACGGCCGCCCGCCCGCTGCGCGCGCCCGCCCCTTTCCGACCACGCTCGCGGCCCCCGCGCCCCCAGACCCCGAGGCCCGGCCCGCGCGGGGAGACGGCACGCAGACGCCGCGTCGGCCGGGCGAGTGTCCCAGGCCGCGTCCGGCG